TGTCTAAATTAGTGTTCCAAGATGAGTGTTGTCTCTGGATTTACTTACTTCCTTGTTAGAGATCATTAATGTTGTTAAACAACGCTTTAATTAGATTTTCAAACATAAGATGTGAAGTGATGGGAAATTGAGGAAAAATTAATAGAATGTGCAGGGAAGAACAACACAAGATTCAATTTGATAAAATGCAGAATACAAATGTCTCTCTCTCCTGGTGATGAAGAGAAATGTGGAAAGGGAAAACATTAAAAGAGTGATAAGTAACGCCAGCCATGCTAATGGGCTACTCTTAATATTATCAAGTCAGGCATCCAAAAGCAAGGATGTAACCACGTTAAAGTGTCTTGCAGTTCTCCTGGTGTACGTGCATTATGACTTGGTAACAATATGGCCAAGGGATTCCTCTCCCCTCAGTATGGCTTGTATTCAGTGTACAGAAGGAATGTGTAGATTGTCAGTGTTTTGTTTTCATTCTTCTCTGGAAAGACCCAGGTCCTATTTAGCTTTTACTTGATTCTTCAAAGGCTTGCTCTCTGGTGCTGTCATTGCAACATGGCAAGTTGGGGAGGGTTCACTAAACACTATGTTTAGTATAGTGGGTTACCCTCTGATCTGAAATATGGAATGTGGTATTGTAATAAGGTAACCACTATAGTTCTAAACTGTGTAAAATGTGCCATCAAAATACTGTCCCCTTCCTTTGATAGTAAGATACTAAGTAACACAATTCATATTCCATATTCCAGCTTCACAAAAGTACTTACATTGCATGGAATCCAAAGAAGAATCTCACGATGCTTAACAGGTTGAACAATTTTGGGTTTATGAAAAGAAAAAAACAGAACTAATTATATATAGTTTGCTAAGTCACAAATAGGAGTGGAAGGTGATAGCTGTGTGCATATATTTAGCCAGGATGATACTAACAGGAAATACTGAGTGTCATAGAAGTGGATTGTAAGTAGAAGGAATCATATGATAATGTGATGGGGAGGGGATTTAGGGTAAGTAAGTATTTATAGTCAAATCTGCAAGTAATTCCCATGAAACTGCAGATAATTGCAAAGGGAAAAATCTCAAGTTCCTCTAAAGTTTGAAAAAACGCATTGGAGACCTCAATTCTTCACCTTAGGGATAACAAGAAGGCAACATAGACACTGGAACAGGTTGCCCAGGGAGCTTGTGGAAGCCCCATTCCTGAAAGTGTTCAAGGCCAGGTTGTATGGGGTTTTGAGCAACTTGGTCTAGTGGGAGGTGTCCCTGCCCATGCAGGAGGGTTGAAACTAGATGATCTTTATGGATCCATCCCAACCCAAACCATTCTCTGTCTCTGTGAACATGTAAGACAAAGGGGAAGCCATACAGTGGTTACCCGTGCTCAAGCAGCAGCCGCTTTCAGGAGCTCTTGTCAAATTTACCAGTGCATTGCACTGTCACTGTAGCTGTGAACAGAAGACTTGTACTTTATTTCTGTTACCTGCCACTATGGCTACTTAACTCTTAGGTTGCTTTACTTGTTAGGTAAATATAGAGATTTCTGAAATAGAAAATGTATAGGAAGAGGCATGGTTCTTAGTAGATGCCAAGATTCAGGAGTTGCCATTATATAACTTGAGTTTCTGTAACTCCATGAGTTGAAATGCTTCCATTGCATCTTTCACAATTGTTTACAGGTATTTCAGGTTTTAGCTGTATCTTTCTGCCCTCACCTCCAGACACTTTGTTTAAAGCAGGCAACAGAAGAGCCATTCAGTATTTCTCCAGCACCCATGGCTGTCAGACTCATCGCTTCTTTGGGGTCAGCAGCCAGTAGATAGTTTCTCTTTCTTTCAAGTGCCAGAATCATCAGCTTTCGTTCTGTGACAGATTGTTCATTTGGTTTATTTCTTTGTTGGCATATTGTCCTTTTCTGAAATGAGGCAAGCAGGAGACCAAAAAGTACTTCAGCTTTTGGGAGGCCCTTATTTGATAGCCAAAGGTAGTAGTGCCAGCAGTGGTCTCCAGCCTGTTTGATGAGGGAGTTAAATCTGGGTGTATTGTTGGAACAGCCTTACATCACCACCAGAGAAGTCCTCCTCAGCTATTTCTGCAAAAGTTCATCTATCCTCTTAAGCTTTTGGGATTGTCCTGTTTTAGACTATTTGCTTGTCAGCGAATGTTTGAGTAACACTAACATGAATTCCAGTGCTGCTTTTCTTCCTTACCTAAACCATCTTTCTTCCCTCTCACTCCCAGTGAAAATACAGAGTCCTTTAAAGCCTGAAAAAACTGTAAATTGTATTGTGTTCCAGAGCATACAGCTCACAGGTAAGGGCCACTGAGAAAGAAGGAGAAAAAAAAAGACAAAATCACATAAAAGAGGAATAGATGGACTAGTGTCATGTTTCCAGTGGGGAAAGAGGAGAAGAAACATGATAAGTATATTGTGTGCTGGAATATTTTCTTTGCTTTCAGCAGAGGCTTGCTGAGTTTGCTTACCAGTTGACTTTTCCTTCAGATGAATTTTCTCTCCTTTTCCTATTACTTATCTTCTCACCTTTTCTCTGTTACTGTACAGACTCAGGCCAGATATTTAAAACTTAATATAATATCCCCCATGATACTGAGCAAGACCATGAGTCCATACTGCAGTATGAGTAAAATTGTTTCAGCAATCTCAGATGTCAAATTTTAAACAGATGTCCAAAGTCATTGAAGCTTTTCAGGGTTCTTGAGCATCTATTTTCTTAATCAGACATAGTTTTATTGCTGTATGTATTGAGGGCTTAGGGAAATAAGACATCAGACAGTTCAGATAAACTACATTTTTTTTCTCATCTGTAGGCAGGCCAGGGATTGAGGTTTGGACCCTGCTGTGGTATATCATATCTTGATATAAATAATATAATAAATAATGGTTCATTCAAATCTTGCAGAACAGTTGTTGCTACCAAGTTTCCTTAGACCTCAGTCTTGTTTTGGGTAGTTTCTTGTGACCAAGGTTAACTGATCTCTTTCACATATCAGGAAAAATGAGCCTTTCTCTTATGTTGTACATCATCACCACACCTGAAGGAGTGAAAGACTGAGAAAGGGATGAATAGGACAGAGCAAATAAAGATTACATTTTTCAGCCAAACGTGTGGACTTTGAAAATTTCTGAATCTTTAATTGGTGAATTGAATTCCTTTTCATAGAATCATAGAATGGTTTGGGTTGGAAGGGACCTTAAAGGTCATCCAGTTCCAACCCCCCTGCATGGGCAGGGACACCTCCTACTAGACCAGGTTACTTAAAGTTCCATCCAACAGAGAATATTTCATTCAGACATTTTCTTTGCCAGGAAAAACAGATTTGCAAAACAAGCAAGCAACAGCCTGTGTATCAAATTCTAAGCTGATCATCTTAGCATGTTTTTTTCAGATCATTTGGGCTTGACTTTTAAAGAAACCATTATTTTGCACAAAGTAAGATGTTGGTCTCAGAAGTTTGTGGTGCTGGCTCTGGAAGAGTTTGAAATTTATTTTTTTTCCTTCTGAATTTTCTTCTTGAGCTAGAGCAGAAGTAAATTTTTCAGGCTCTAGAATGGAGAACCAAGTTGCTGGATTTATTTCCTCAGTGCTGTTCTTCCTTCTTTTCTCTCTGTCATCTCCTTCATCTATGCCATCTGACACAAAAAGTAAAACATAACCCAAACCCATAATCCTATTTAGGTTTTTTAGAATAATCCTAGGTACTTGGATCTAATGTGTAACAAGTTAAAAAAATACATTTTGAAGTGTACTTTCTATTGTGTATCTTTGAGCTGTGCTTACAAGAAAGACCAGCAAACTCCAGCATTACATGAACAAATTAATTTGTAAATGTAACTGATAGTACATAATGTCTCATAAGACAGTGAATTTATGTTTGGAGAAACCTCAGTAAGAAGTTTAAGTAAACTTTCTTTCACAGCTCTGCTACTGCAACTGATTGTTAAAAGACATGTATTAAAACACAAATTAAAAATATTTATCCTTAAAATCTGGAAAGCAGACGTGTTACCAGTAGGTGAGCTATGTGCTTTTGCCCTTTGAAAATTTGGAAGACTAAAAACGTAGGAGGAAAGCAGGATGAAGTATGTTTTGATCTGACACTTTTGGGAAAACAGTACATATTAAATCAACAGCTCTTGACACTTCCTGATGCAGTAAATGCAATAGACCCAAAAAACTTCTCCCCTCTTCTTGCTGTTATGAAGAACTCTACCAGTTGGTGTTGCATGTACATCTTCTTCCTGTGCCTTTATGTGTTTAATTTTTGTTTTCACAGGCATAGAATGTCAAGCAAACCAAGCATCAGCTACCTCTGAAGAGTGCACAGTTGCATGGGGTGTCTGCAATGTAAGGAGAACTGTTTTATGGTGGAGCTCATGTGTGGTGATTCTAGCCCCTTTGTTCATGACTCAGGACAAAACGAGTTCAATGAAATGTTTCAGATAATCCACCAGAAAAAAAGAACTTTAAACACTGTATGTTTAGTAGAGTGTAGAGAGTAGAAAGGAGAGAGAAAAGAAAAAAAAAAGAATGAAAGAATAAAAGTTGGAGAGATATAATATGGAAGACACAGAGGAGAAGGGAGGAAGATAGGCTTTTTTTTTTAAATAATATATCTTTCATTCTGAGCATGGTTTTCCTGATCAAGGTTCTGCCTAGGAGCTATGCCTTTTTACTCCCTGGTAATAGGATTACTTGGATGTCAGCAGGCTTGATTTGTCTTTGTGCAGGCTGATTCAAGGAGTCAATATGGAGTAACTAGGTGCTTTGCTTCCCCTTTTGGAGGAAGATCAAATAGGTTCTAGGGTGTAATCTCCAGCTCTTCAATTTGTTGGCATATGCGCTCCTTTGTGCAGGGTCCCACTAACATGTGAACTCAAACTTATGCTTCCTAGCTAGCCTAAGCTGGAAGATACAGTTTTCCATACTGGAATAAACTACCTGTTCATCAGTCCCATCTTTACTGTGGTGTGGGATCATGCTACAGCATGATAATCCTGGAACAAGACTAAAAATGTTGCAATTCTGTTTGTGGAAGATGGGCAGTTTTTCAACCATGTTAGAACATTCTAGTGTCTCAAAATAATGATTTTGTGTGCAATTTACCATAAGTGAAACCTTGTTTTTAAGTAGCTACATGGGATATTGAAAAAAAGGATATCCTTATTAAACATGCAGTTGAGATTTTTTTTTTTTCTAGTTCTGCAAGTTCCTTTTTATTCAGGCTTCAGTTTGTCCAGAAGACTGGCAGGAAGCTTCAGCATGTATATGTACATATCATCCCTCCTACTCACTATGAAATCTTCTTTCTTCTCTTTCTGATTATGCATCTTATCAGCATCTGCTCTGCCAATTTTAGCAGCTCCTAAACTCTGCCTTCTCTCCTTCATCAGAAGTCAGTTTCATGCCACTGCATGCACTGTGGAGCAGGCTCCCTGCTGCCATTTCACTGACGTTACCTTCCTCTCTGAAGATGTGGATCAATCCCATGGTATTTACCAGTGAGCTGGCTCATTAGTCCTCCCCACCTTTTTCTGCAAGCACTTTCTACTCTCTTCTCACCGTGATGCTTTCAATGGTAGTTTTCATTTTGAGATACATTCATGTGTTCTGAAATGATGTGATCTGGACTTTCTCTTCCAGCATGCTTTCCACTTCCACTGCATCTCTCGCTGGCTCAAAACTCGCCAAGTATGTCCACTGGACAACAGGGAATGGGAGTTCCAAAAGTAGGTATCCTGCACAGATCTCAAGATTAAAAAATCCAATTGTCTTTCATTCATAGAAATTATCAATGTCAGATATGTGGGTGATCTCTCTCATTTGTGGGTCTGAGGGCATAGTTGTTGCTGGGAAAGGTTTTTTTTCTCCACCTTGCTGTGTTCCAAAGCACTTCTGCTAAGGTACCAGGAGTCTTATTGGATCCCTCTGTATCTTCGTTGTTTTTTTAAAAAACTCTTGTAGGCTCGGAAATGAATACAGCTGATTTCCTAGCATTTGGAAATCAAATGTCCATGTAGCTGTTGTCACAGTCTTGGGCCATTTATTCATAGTTTCTATACTCTTGTTTTGTTTTGTATTTTTAGGTCTGTTGTTAGAATAATACAGGAAATCCATGAGTAATTTTTTTAAAAGAGTAATTGACAGATAATTGTACATTAAGAGTCTTTGGGAAGTGTGCCAGTCACTTGCTTCATTCTGCACCATTTATCCATTAATCTTTTCTTAACTGTGGATTTTCTTTCTCCCCCACTCCCTTTAAAAAAAACACAACAAACCCAAAACATACTAATTTAACCAGAGTCCAGATTAAAACAAAGCAGATATTATAGCTGTTCAGGATTGTCTTTGGGATCTGGCTCACTATCAGTTGTGCAAATTGTCATTGACATGGCAACTTGAGTACCATAGTTTTGATATTAAGGTGTTTTAATGAACACTTAATGAGACCTGAGCCCATGTTGCCTGGCTAGTGACTTAATACTACATGTACAGCATGATGATAAATGGAGACAAGAATAAATATGTTCTTATGGGTCCTCAGTAATACATCTGGGGCTTTGGCCAGATAGAGGCTTTGGCCTTGCTTTCATGCAGAATAGATTTGAAGTGGGTCCTTGGGCAAAAGATGATGATACTGATGGTCTCTTGCATATGCTACTGTGGATTGCTCAGTCTCTCTTCTCACTAGTACCTGGATAGACTTTTAGGGGAAGTGAAATGTGGAGAACTTCCTAAGGCTTCCATAACATAGCATTTCACTTTTATCTGGTTTACATGTTGATTACATTGTGGTAGAATGAGAATAAAGCTGCCCAAATCGGCACTGTGTATGAAAACCTAATTAAAAAAGAAAAAAAAAAAGCATTAATTATTATATATTTGCAGGTATGGACACTAGAGAGATGGTCACCACCCTTCTTGTTACGTTGTCAGCTTCAGTTGTTCTGGTCACAATGGGTTTGTTTTAGCAACTTGAAAAATCAGCAATGTATACAATTCTTTAATCTTTATTTCCTCCTGTTGTATACCATGGAATAAAATCTTGCTGGAGCTTCCTGTCAGAGTTTTTTGTCTTGTGTTCAGGAGTGGGCAGTCAGTGAATGAGGGAAACTGGCAACTTCAGTGAGGCAACTCAGGCCAGGCAACTCTTGTCACTATGCCCAGTTTGGGGCAGAGTGACATACTTGTGGGTTTGGTCTTACTCCCACGCAGTGGAGAGCCACACCTCTGGCTCAGCAAGGCTGGCATTAAGCTTCATTGTGCAGTGCAATGGGTGCAGGACTTGGCCTGGCGAAGTGTAATTTATGTAAATAGCACTTCATGTGGACATGCAGCTGACTTGAAATTATGATCTATACAAGTAGAGGTTGTGTCATTAGAAACTGCTGTCTCTTGTTTCTGCCCTTCACTTTGACTAGACCAGCTTCCGTGTGGAGGAAAATTTCACTTAACTATTCCCAGTTCCATCTATTTAGTTTGAGGAACATGAGCTGAATGTTAGTTTTTATCAGGGCTTATTAAAGCCCTTTCATGTGTCAGGTGAAAGGAAACTCAGGAAATTCCCATGCTAGATTGTCTGGAAAGTTGAAAGTAAACAGTGTATGAACAAACTAATTCCTGGTCAGCTTTCTACTGGTGTTTTCCAAGTTCAAGCCAAGCTGTGGTTCTTACTGGCCCAAAGTTGTTACTCTGAAAAACTACATGATGTTTTATTTTGTGTCTTCCGTGCCGAATGGCCAGGTATCCTCCTCACTGCTTCAAATTTTGGCCCCTAGCATATACTGGGAACTCAAACAAGGTCAAATAAATTATTCCCACTACAAGAGGCAGCATCCCTTCATGTCAGCAGCAGCAGATACTGTACATTCTTTCATTGGCTTTTCATAATGCCACCTTTGGATTAACACTTTTTTTGCGAGTTATTGAGGATGGGAAATTTGATAGCTGATGTTAAACATTAGTGTATTATAGTGATAGGGAATAAAGATGGTCGCTGACAGAACCAAAACTTGCAGGTTTTTCTGTAATTGCTGAGGCTTTCTTTAATCTGCAGCAAGCAAATATCAGGATTATTTTATCAGCTGGTGTCAGTGCTCTGAAATTACACAGTTTGCTGTTTTCCACCCTGAAGAAGAAAAAAGGAACAACTCAAATCCAGAGTTTATAGCTGAACCATTTATTTACCAGATTTAGTTGGTAGAAAGGTCATCCTGAATTTGCAAGATGGTTTTGGTGATGGAGGTAGGAATGGAACAGAAGGGGGAGGGGAAAGGCAGTGGAATATCCAGGCTTAGTGCTATTCCCTGGGATCTGAACTCCTATTTCATGTCCAGTCCAGATGAGTAAAATGTCAGATGTCCATGTTTATGATTGTCCATTTTGATTGCAGTGTTTGATTTTTCAGGACCTGGAACCCAGATGCTCTCTGATCAGGGAATTTATTTCCTTGAGAACTTTATTTTGGATCCAGCTACATAATTGTGTCTCCCTTCAGTCTCTCTATATTGCCCTGAGCATTTGTTTTTGGCTGGGGACAGACACATGAGTGCAGGCATTTCCCTCTCCTTCATAGCTCTGTGTGCATTTGCTCGAGGCTGTGCCTGCAAGAAGACAGTTTCTTTTTGTAATTTTTATTCCTTTTATTTTTTTAATTATTTTTTTTCCTCCTTTTAAATAGACCCTTCCTAATGGCAGGCTACAGGCACTCTCCTCCCAAACCCTTTGAACCTCTGTTCTGGTACAGCCATAAGTATTAAATTTTATTTCAGATAGGAAAATACAGACTGAAAATCAGCAGCCAATACAGAGCTGGGAAAGAAAATCCTTTTTCATCTGCTGCCCATTGAGATGACCTTGCTGCTGTTCCCCCACTGCAAAGGGCCTGAGCTCTGTGATGACCTACAGCAGCTCCAGCCCAGGGCTGCCAGCAGCCCCGTTTTTGTAGCACATGTGAAGGGTTGTGTTTGGGGGGAGAAATAAAAAATTCAGCAAGTGACCTAAGAGAAGCTCCACAGCACAGGCAGCATCAAGTGCAGGTAAGAGGGATCTGTTTTATCCAAAGGCACAGAGCCCCACTTCCCCATGGCATGGTTGTTCACTCAAGTTGGCATTTCTCTGCCCTGACATGGTTTGACTTCCATCTCTGCTGGATGTGGTGGGAGGGGGAAAGCCCACTCCCTCCCTCTTTTATGTTTTTCCTGAAGCAACACTCATTTTTGACAACAAGCTTCCCATTCTTGCAAAATACAAACAGCATTTTGGGGTTGAAGGAGGAGCTGGACACATTTCTAAGCATCTCAGGGGGAAGACAGGTGTGCAGGAGAGAAACAATGACTGAGAGAACAATGACAGGCCATTTACCTGTCCTATAAATGGAGGATGTGTCTGAGCTGTGGACACAAAAATAAAACCAGGAGGAGATGGTGGTTAAAAATGCAGAGAGTAGCGTGTCCTGCAGCTGCCCATCTTAGAGAAAAACAAATCACTGGTAGACCTGCTGCAGAGCAGAAGGCAATTTTGACATTTTGGATACTTTCCACAAGCTTGTCAGCTGAGACAAGCAGCATCACTGAGCAGGCCCTAATGGAGAGAGCACCATGCAGGCCAAAATGACCAGACAGCAGCTTCCATCTCTTCCTTCTGGAAAGGAGGCAGTGAGCTCCAGGTGCTGTGCGGCATCAGCTGTGCCTGGTGTGCCAATTCTTTTGCTGCTCTTGCATTTAAAGGGCCAGAATCTGGATGATGTGGCACCGAGATGGCTCATTGGCCTGTGTGGAAGTAGGAGGGGACAATCAGCAACCAGACTGAGCAGCAGTTTGAGGGGGAAGCTCAGGGTGTTGAGTTTCCCCCTCAAGATGACCTGATGAGCCATACATAAAGGCAGGCCGTCAGGAGTTTGCTGTCTTGTTTCGGAGGAGTGGCTGAAGCCTGAACCAGTTTCCCAGGCTTGTAGCAGCACTCCAGGGAGTGAACTTCACGGTTGTGTGCTCCTGCCTCAGATGGGGAAGGAGTATCTGCAGATATGCAGATATTTGAGTTGGGATGAGGAAGCTTTGCAACTGCTTTGGGTGGCCCTGTGCCCACAGCCCTTGTGGAGAAGCCCTGGGAGCTGCTCCCACCACTGTGCAGTCAGGCATGGTGGTGAAACCAAACTCACACGTGTGAAAGTACACCTTCCAGAGAGGGAGCAGGAGTAGCCTCTGTGTGCAGGCAAGTGAAGATCCATCTGTCCTCTCCTGAAGTAGTCTGGGGCCACAAACTGCTCAGCAAAGCTGCTGTGAAGATGACTCAAGCAGCACCAGTGTTGTGTGAGCCAGTGCAGGCAGAGCTGAGCTTCCAGGAGAGATGCACCCAAAGCAGGAAGATCTGCACTGTTTCTGGAAAACTCGCTCCTCCAAAAGTATCAGGGCAGAGGATGGCAACATCACTATTTTCCTGACTGGCACTATTGTGGGTTTCATTCCCTCAACTAGAAAGAGATGGGCAGAAATCAAGACTAAGTAGCTGCTTATGCTTGCCCAAGACATTGCTCCCATCAAGAGGCAGGCAAGGAGATGTCCCAGCAAGTGTGGGCTGCCAGTGCAGGTGTTGGTGGAGGGTACAAGCTCCTCTCAGCAGTGTGGGAATGCTCCCACATTGTTCTTCAGCAGTGGGAATGTGATGCCATCATGAAATAGCAGAGAGGCTGGACTTGCACAGTACAGAGCTCATGTCCACGGGTTGCACATGGCCAGCCTGCTGCTGGTCCTTTCTTTGGACCACCAAGAACTCCTTTACTTCTGCCCTACAGCAGTGGCTTTTCCATCCAGTGAAGGGGCAAGCCCTTTGGTGGACAACGATGAGGCTTTGGGTTGGCTCAGTGGGCACTGACACCCCAGGTTGCTCACCCCAGCCTGGGTAAAAGCCACCACTGCTCATAGGCCCCCAGGCCATTGCTGGAGAGAACTGGGAGGAGTTGACACTGCTGCTGCCATTTCCCTACTGCAGATTCCCAAAGGGGCTGGAGGGAAGGAGGAGGATGGGTGTGGAGAAGCATCCCTTGTCTCCCAGCTTTGCTCATCCTGTTTTTCCCCTCCCCACAAAACCTGCGGAAGAGCAAGCTCTTCTTGCCTGCTTTTGCT